TCATCTTGGCCCCGATGCTCCTCAAGGTACTCGTCTGCTCCATAGAAGATCGATGCCTTGCTGTGGGCGGCCTTGCCCTGCTTGCCGAGCAGAGGCGCGCTGGTCGCCATGGGCACAATGGCAGCTGAAAACTGAAAGGTCGGTTTGACTTCGAGACTTCTCAAGTCCGGGCCTGCGGCGAGCCGGGCATTCTGCTCTCCTCTCACTGCTCCTCCAATGCTTGAAGTCAAGTCAAAGTCAAGTCGTGCAGCAAAGCTTGGCGAAGGCTTTTGCAAAGTCTCTTGTCCAGGCTGCCTGCCAGGCCCGAGCCGAGCGCAAGCGGGTGAGTAGATATGGCCAGTGCCTCCGACACGGGCCTGCCCACTCGACGGGCCTGAAGGGTGCCGCTGGGCATGCGCACAGAGGTGTACTGTACAAACCAGGCCCTTTGCAAGAGGCCCTGTACAAGAGAGGCTTCTGCACCATGCTGCCAGCGTAGCTGAGCAGCCCTATACTGGCAGAAGCGAAAACTGAGCATCTCATTTGCCCTGCTTCATCATCATGGAGCGCTTCTTCTGCGTCTTCTGCATCTGGGTCTCCTGACCAGAAACGACAAACATCGAAGACTCGATCATCCAACCTCTCGTGTGCGTTCAGCTGCAACAGGCAGCAGCAATGGCAGCATTCTGCTGGTCGGGATTTGAGGGCAGGAGAGTCTGCGGCTTTCTGAGGCCGGGCGTCCTCATCACCGTTAGGCTTCCACAGCCCGCGGTGCAGGACTTCTGCAGCTGCATCATGAACCTGGATTTGAGCTGCGGTGATGGTGCGCTTATCGTCGCGGAAGTTACTGCACGCTTCAAGTGGTTCATAGTCTTTCGCGACGACTTTCAATAGAAGATAAAGATTGGATATGCCAAGGTCTGTCAACAAGGGCTGAAGGGCCTTCTCCCAGCCGTGGAAGCGGCCACGCTGGCTCAGCGTGCCGACGGCGTTGGGGAAGGCATGGTGCACCTGATATTTTTTGGGGAATTTGGACTGCTGCAACCTGACACAGTACGTGTGCGCTTGTTTTGTTTGGCATTCAACTCCGAAACTGGGCCCGCCTTCTAACATAACAAAGCCGAGCCACATCGTGGAAGAGCATCTCGTTCCAGCGGTGCTTTCCTGCAACTCTTCCGAATCACACCTTCCAAAACCCTGAACAGCTGCTGTAATGTTAAGAGTCCAAAGCCGCCTCCCAGAACCATGGCCATCACGTTATGAAGGACAGGCCAGGTGCGGCCCGGATCCTGTGCCAGGAACTCGTTCCAAGGCAAGCCTGGGCTGTACTATCTTTAGAGTCTAGGGTTTAAGATGCAGGGCTTAAGGCTAACATCGGGAGCATCGTGAAGAGACCAGTTAAAGTACGTTGATAACAAGGAAACCTAAGACATCATGTTGATAATCATATGGGCTTCCATGTTGGCCACGGATGTTCAAAGAGTTGTAGTATGAGGAAGCTGGATTTAAGGTTTAGGCGTTTCGGTCGGTTTTTAACCTAGCACAGCGTTTAGTGTTTCGGGCTTACATTGAACCTCTCTAAGACCGAACAGGAAACTCAACATAATCCCAAATCGAAGCCGCCTAGAAGCTGTGAGTGAAGTTGGTGATGAACATCCAGGCCGCGGAGTAGCCGATGCGAGCGAA